AAAAAAAAAAAAAAAAAAAGAATGGAACAATGAATATTCATATATCCACCATCTATATTGAACAATTAATTTCATTAAAATACATGTAGTATTTATTTATTTATTTATTTATTGAGACAGAGTCTGGCTCTGTCACCCAGGTTGCAGTACAGTGTTGCGATCTCGGCTCACTGCAGCCTTCACCTCCCGAGGTCAAGTGATTCTCCTGCCTCAGCCTCCTGAGTAGCTGGTATTATAGATGTGTGCCACCGTGACTGCCTAATTTTTGTATTTTTAGTAGAGATGGGGTTTCACCGTGTTGGCCAGGCTGGTCTTGAACTCCTGACCTCAAGTGATCTGCCAGCCTCAGCCTCCCAAAGTGCTGGGATTACAGGTGGGAGCCACCACTCCTGGCTGACATTGACTATATATTTAACTATATATTTTTGGCTGGATTATTGTAAAGTAAATTGCAATAAACCATGAGGCTTTACCCCTAAATACTTCAGCACGTACCCTTCCCAAATAAAGGACATTTTCTTGCATAGCCACTTATCCCACCTAACAAAATAAGGGCTAATTCCCTCCGATCATCTGAAACCCAGTCTAATAGAGGTTTACAAAGTGCAGATGCCAAAGACTGACTCAGAAGATCTGAGTGTGGAAATTAGAATGCTGGTTTTTTTTCAGAACCTTCACAGGGTTGGAACACAGCCAGAATGAGAAACTGCTTTAGATTAGAAGTTCTTTTAGGAGAGAGATGATGTCTCATACCTACTTTAGCCACCTTAGTGCTCAGTACAGGTTGAGTATCCTTTATCTGAAATGCTTGAGACTAGAAGTATTTCAGATTTCAATTTTTTTCAGATTTTGGAATATTTGCAGAATGCATAATGGTCGAGCATCCCTAATCCGAAAATTCAAAATGTTCCAATGAGCGTTTCCTTGGAGCATCATGTCAGCACTCAAAAAGTTTCAGATTTTTGAGCATTTTGGATTTTGGGTGCTCAGCCTGCATAAGGAACATAATAGGAACTTGATACTTTTCAGTCTCCCTCCTCCCCCAAATTATTACAACATCTTCATAGTGCTAGGCTTCCATTTGTTTTTGTTTTTTTTCCTAGAGACAGGGTCTCACTTTGTTGCCCAGGCTGGAGCGCAGTGGCACAATCTCAACCTCCCAGGCTCAAGTGATTCTCCCACGTTAGCCTCTAAATAGCTGGGACTACAGGCGACCACAACCACGTCTGACTAATTAAAAAAATTTTTTTTTGTAGAGGTAGCGTCTTGCTATGTTGCTCAGACTGGTCTCAAAGTCCTGGACTTAAGTAATCCTCTCACCTCAGCCTCCCAAAGTGGTGGGATGACAGGCGTGAGCCTCTGTGCCTGGCACGTTTGTTCTCAACTTTGTGATTAAAACTGGAGATGTTTCCTAGTTGTACCTTTACCTTTTGGTGCTTGAATTTTGTTAAAGATCAATATTTCTGGGCATTTAAAGAGATTTGTTAATTTTTTAAAATGCTTCTTGCTAAGAGTCTCTTTTTGCCATAGGACCTTAGAGCTTTTGGTTGTAATGAGACAGGGCAGGCTGAAAGTTAGTAAATGTTTCTCTTATTGACAACCCCAACTTTTCTCTTATTGTAGTTATCCATCTTGGTGCATCCTGACAAAAATCAAGATGATGCTGACAGAGCACAAAAGGCTTTTGAAGGTATTTGTAAATTTACCTGCTTCTGAGTATTAGATTGTGAATGGCAGGGCCTAACTATTCCTTGTCCTAGATCAAGCAGAGACTGTTGTAGTTTTGTCTTCTGGTCACCAAGAAGCTGTGGTTTTCAGTAGAGCAGTTGCCATTTCAAAGCAGAATGTTTTGTTTAAGAAGTAAACCTTAACTTTGCTTTGTTAAAACTTTTATATGCCAACAAAGACTGTTATTGCCTAGGATCATTTTTTTTCTTTGAACATAAAGAATTTTATCACTGAATTAAATCCAGATGTGGTGCCTTGAGTATATATTTAATTTTTTCCAAGGCTCTCAAGGAAAGTCATTGCTATAGTTGAATGTTTTTTTTTTTAATTAGTTTAACAATAGTAAATAATTAAAGTAGGGAATGCTTTAGACAGCACAAGTCCATTTACACTGCCTGAGTATAGTTCAGACTTTCAGAGGGTGTTTGCAGAAACAGTTAATTTCAATGTTTTGCATTAGCTGTGGACAAAGCTTACAAGTTGCTACTGGATCAGGAGCAAAAGAAGAGGGCCCTGGATGTAATTCAGGCAGGAAAAGAATACGTGGAACACACTGTAAGTATTTATAGTGCTGCTGTGTTTACAGGAAGTATCAGCAAGCCTTGGGCACCTTGTAGGAGGGTACATATTAACATAGTAATGCCTACTGGCACAACTTGTGGATGCTTATGTGCTCTCCACCACTTTGCTGTGGTGGTCATGAATAGTGTGTGCCTGAAGCTGTAATTCACCCCTAAGAGAAGAACTCAGATGAGGAGTAGCTAGGACACTGCTCCTACCTGTTTCTCTGCCAGTCCTGTGTTGGGGAGAAAGGGTCGTTCTCTCCCTCTCATTGCATATTGCCACTTACTCCATTCTTAGAGTAGAAATATGGAGCAGCCTGTGACCCTTGACTCTTGATTTTTATTCTTGTCCCTGGTGAAGGGTTTGGAACAAGGCTTGTCTAAGGCTAGCAAGAGGATAGGGGTAAACTTTTTTTAAAATATGAGGAGGTTTATGCCCATCTTAATAACAGAGTTGGGAAGAACTCAATTGAAAGAAACTGAGTTGTAGCTGGTGTTATTTTTGTTTGCTCTTGAGGGCCTACATAAGTCTCCCATGTGATGGGAAATGTCAGTATGGCTTTCCTGAGGTAAGAAAGGTCTTTTAACTTTTTACTTGCTGGGGCAAGAATCTTGAGGCCATTTATAAGAGCTGTTTCAATTGTGATTGGATATGACTTTTCACATGAAGAGCTTTGAAATGTGAAACCGAACTTTATAACCATAGTAATGAATCTAGTTTAGGTGAGGAAAATGGATAAGAAGAGGAGACAAAGGGCCCATAACTACGTCCTGTCGGTCATGTGTTGGAAATGGCACTTGTAGGCCCTATCCTTGTAGAAATAGGAAAAGTGCCTGACAGTTTCTCCTTAAATCATTGTGGTAGTTACCCTTCCTATATCTTTTACCTGTAAGAATGTCATCCTTAGGCTTCCTGACCACAGGGTGGCAGTAGGGCCTTTCTGAGCTTAGAGGGCACTTGGCTTTTGCTGGTATAATAGACTGGTATAATAGTTCATGGAGTAGTGTCATTCTTGTATGAATGGGTATATTTAATTTTTTTTTTTTTTTTATCTCAGTAGTGACCAAAGTGATAAAAGTATCAGTTAATATGATGTGTGGTTTAGGGAGGTTCCACGGTGAAAATGATCAAGAATGTAGTTATAGAAATGCCAGAAAAACTACTTGGACATAATGCCACAAATTCTGTAGCTTCTTCTAAAACTTGACAAATATATTTTCTTTGCTCTAAACACATAACCACAAGCCAAGAAAGGTAAATTAGTAGTCTGTTTATTTCATCAAAAACGTTTTGGATCTGATGAGTTGGGGACAACCTCCCGTTGGTCCCCTTTCATCTTTCATTCTTCCTGGTAGATTGGATTTTAGATGAGATTAGAAAACAGACTTGTGGTTCCTAATTGTCCTTGATTCCATTGTTCTTTTGAGGAGGGAGGGGAGGGGCTCATTTTTTTTTTTAATGGAAACTTTTTGCTATACCTGTGCCTACAGAAAGTTACATATATTGTATGTGTACAGCTCAGTGGATATTCTCAAAGCACAGGTGCTCGTCTTTTGATGAAAAAAAATTCTTTTTAGGTGAAAGAGCGAAAAAAACAGTTAAAGAAGGAAGGAAAACCTACAATTGTAGAGGAGGATGATCCTGAACTGGTGAGTTAAATATGGGAAACGCCACTGTATCTTGTGTGACTGAGTCTACGAATTGGTGAGTTACAGAGACAGAAGCCAAAAGAATGATGACTATATGCTATTTCACATTTATTTATTTATTTATTTATTTATTATTTTTGAGACTGAGTTTCACTCTTGTTGCCAGGCTGGAGTGCAATGGCGCAATCTCAGCTCACTGCAACCTCTGCCTCCCAGGTTCAAGCAATTCTCCTGTTTCAGCCTCTCAAGTACCTAGGATTATAGGTGCATGCCCCCACGCCCGGCTAATTTTTGTATTTTTAGTAGAGACGAGGTTTCATCATATTGGTCAGGCTGGTCTCAAACTCCTGACCTCAGGTTATCTGCCCGCCTCTGCCTCCCAAAGTGTTGGGATTACAGGCATGAGCCACCACACCCGGCCTTATTGTTTTATTTTTTATTTTTTGAGATGAACTTTTACTCTTGTTGCCCAGGCTAGAGTGCAATGGTATGATCTCGGCTCACCGAAACCTCTGCCTCCTGAGTTCAAGTGATTCTGCCTCAGCATCCTGAGTAGTTGGGATTACAGGCATGCACCACCACGCCCAACCAATTTTGTATTTTTAGTAGAGACGGGGTTTCTCCATGTTGGTCTCAAACTCCTGACCTCAGGTGATCTGTCCGCCTTGGCCTCCCAAAGTGCTGGGATTACAGATGTGATCTACTGTCCCTAGCTGTCACATATTTTTAATTTTAATTTTAATTAATTAATTAATTTTTTGAGAGGGAGTTACACTCTTGTTGCCCAGGCTGGAGTGCAATGGCGTGATCTCGACTCACCGCAACCTCCGTCTCCTAGGTTCAAGCGATTCTCCTGCCTCAGCCTCCCAAGTAGCTGGGATTACTGGCATGCACCACCATGCCCGGCTAATTTTTAGTAGAGACGGGGTTTCTCCATGTTTTTCAGGCTGGTCTCGAACTCCCGACCTCAGATGATCTGCCTGCCTCGGCTTCCCAAAGTGCTGGGATTACAGGCTACAGGCATGAGCCACCGTGCCCAGCCTCCGGCTAATTTTTTTATATTTTTAGTAGAGACGGGGTTTCATCATGTTGGCCAGGC